CATTATTTTATGAAATCAGTTGATAAAATTAATAATGTTTCAAGATAACTATCAACCAACAAATCTTTTTTAAAATAAATCCTTACAAAGTACTAAACAGAAACTGTTATTAAAGATAACGAATTATCGTACAAAACCTAACACGCAAACTGTAATTTTATGTTAGCTTAAAAACCACTGATATATATATTCTATTTACTTTATATGTATAAGGAGTCTTCTGTTACGCTGTAGCTATATTATAAACAATCTTCAAAGGGCGGGACTGATTTTGATAAAACATGTCAAAGAACCACCGCTACAAAACTAGTATTAAAAAAAACTGCAAACAAATCGGTTCACCCGTTTAAGAGCTACGGTACCACAGATACTCGTACATACACATACTTATTACACCCCTCTTTTTCTTCAGGGGTTAAAAAACAAACTTTATTTACGTAAAGCATACAAATTCCGGACATGGGCCTCGCTCCAATCGCAGGGAGTTGAACCTTTATCATCACGTTGGGTATGTGGATTGATGATAGCAGTACCACACGTTTTGTTTCAATGACGTTTGTTTCCCGTCGCTGGTTTAAGAATTTTAAGGGGGTTTTCAAAATGGTAATACCGCCCATCTATCGGAAGCCACTAGATTTTCATCGCAATATCCCGTAGTTGTTTCCATAAAATACCATAATACATAATAGAATGGCCGTCAATCTTATTTTGTACGAGGTTAGGCGTCGCTGGGAGCACAATACAAGCAATTACGTCGTATTATCACTACTACAAAACCTATTCGCTATGTTGACAGACTGAGCGAATTTACACATCTTTTGATTAATGTTTTTGACACATCATTCATATGTTGCCTTAGCCAGTATCGGAATCCTCGACGTCGACATATCGAGGGACGTGCAGTTTCATAGTCACTTGGAAGAGAAGGCTAAATTGGCTTCTAAAAAGCGTGGCGTACTCAACAGAGCGGTACAACGTTTTATACCGAGACTCCGCCTGCAACTCTACAAGACACAGATTTGACCTCACATAGAATACTGTTCCTATCTCTGGGCTTAGGCTCTCCAGTGCCAACTCCTTACATTTGATCGCATCCAGCGTAGAGCAGTTTGAATCGTCGGCAACCGAGCTTTTTCTGATCGGCTTGACTCATTGGCACTGCGAAGAAATGTTGCATCTCTTTGCGTATTTTATGGCATCTACCACGGGGAGTGCTCTGAGGAATTGTTCGGACTAATTCCAGCCGCACGGTTTGATCATCGCACATCGCGACAAAACTCGCGATACCACCCATACCATCTGGATGACTGGCGGTCCATCACTAAGCAATTTAAAAGAAGTTTTCTTCCTCGCACAACTTCCTTGTGGAATCAACTACCACCAGAAATTTTGCCGAACCGATACGACTTAGGGACCTTCAAGAAAAGAGCCTAAGTATTCCTTTTTAAAAGGCCGGAAACGCATCTTCAATCCCCCTGGTGTTGCAGCTGTTCATGGGCGACGGTAATCATTTACTATCAGGTGAGCCGTATGCTTGTTTGCCCTCTCCTATAAAAAAAATCAATATTTCTTTGTTTTTGTTTCTAATATTCACAAAATATAAATAGTTTCGAGTTACTGGTTGTAGGATATGTCTCCTTTATTTAAACTCCATTTCCCGCTGTTTTTTCGACTCATAATTATTGCACAATTTGACATTTTTTTTAAATAATTTGCATGCAGCGACGCTTAACACGACATTTATAGTTGTGTAATGTGAATTGTCATGATAGTGGCTACACGGGCTCCGCCCACTCCCCCGTTCTATTATGTATGTATTATAGTATTTTATGGTTGTCTCTTATGAGACCTACCACATACCGACGAGCACAAAGTCTACCTGTGGCTAAATGCCAGTACCTAATCACCTAAGAGCTAAGAAAGAATGACTGACTATATTTTAATAAGTTATTGTGACATAATCGATAAATACTTGAAAAATAAGTTACAGTTCGAATAAAAACAGTAATTAAAAGACTAAATGAACCTTATCACTATCAATTTAGTGCACCATTAACCAGTGAAATTGCTGCTACATGTAACTAAATAGATTTCCAGTATTATTATGATAAAGCTTACCAATATTGGATTTTATGTTAGAAATATTGGCTTAGAAATTGCATTTGTTACACCTAGTGCGAATTTTATCTAGTATTACTTTGGTTTTCAAATATGAACAATGTTTTATTTTTATTTTTCATGCATAATTAAAGATGGAATTATTTTATTTATTAGTACACTTTTTATAAATTTTCGGAAAACTTATTTATAAGTGTTTTCATCTAATCTCAACTTATATTTAGAATTAACATCATCATCTTTACCTCTAGTTTCGATGTAATTACCATCCAATTTTATAAAAGCGATCGGTGTCGAACTTCCACCCAATTACAAAAACTGCTGACTTCCATGAAAACCTGCAAAAAACTTCAACAAAGGAAGGCCACTGATGCCTTGTAATCTCTGACGATTAAAACGAAATGCCTCCTAGCTTGTAATGCCCCAACGTTAAGTGAAGGTGTAAAAATGTACTGTCCCGTGAGTGTTTTAAGAGGTGATAGTGGAAAACTGAAACAGTATAATATGAGCAGCACCTACTTTCTGATGACAACTCCAAATAATATAAAACTACAGTTTCAAAATAGCCTACCGAGCGTGTCAACTATAGCAAAATCCCCCTATGAAGCAATATATTGGGGAGGAATTGTTCAACAGTGGACTTTTATAGGCTGTAATGGATGAATGAATGGATAGCCTGTATTTGTACTAGTTCTGTTACTTTTTAAATCAGAACACAGCAATGTATACACTGTCGCTTAACAGAAGTAATGATTTCGAAACAAACTCCATCCAGATGAGCTTTTTGATGTCGGAAAATTTTTATGGATACCTTTGCTGCGGTGGCAAGTGAAGGTTACGCAGGACTTCTATTTGCTAAAATTCCACGGTGGTCTGATCTGATGGGTATAGAGGGCCGGTGCAACTAAAGACTGTGAGGAATTCGATCTAAAGGTCACTGCATACGTAACGTGTTTAATTCCGGACGGAGCGAGACGTCAAATTTTGGCAATATTGTTTCATAGAAAATGTACGTGAACATGCATACGTTATGGATGTACGAGCGGGACGAGGACGTGACATGAACGGGACGGCAAAAATATCGTCAGCGACGATGTTTACCCAGTCCCACCCGCGTGCGCCACGTCTCGTCCGTGGTTCCGCTGCGTATGCATAGTCACTCAGTTGAACTAGCATGTTAGTTTCGACTCAATGTCACGGTGCATATGCATTAAACTGCCGTCCGTGTTGACAATTGATATACAACTACGTTCTATCTCCGTCCCATGCACGCGCTGATTCCATCCCGTACAAAACGACCTTTAATAATCAGAAGTGACAACGCATCTGTGGCCTTGGTTTTGTTACGGGTGTCCATATTTTACAGAATATCAGCGAAAATAGCAGCTCAATGCTGGTGTGTTTTGTACGGTGGCCGTAGAGAACCGGAGACCATTTTCACTGTTAACGAGCCATTCCATCTTTGTCGTCATTAGTTTTTTGTTGGAGTTGGTTACAGGTAGACTATAAGTTTTCGCGTCACTTCTTCGATTAAAAAAATAGTATACCCATCTAATAGAGGTACTAGAAAGTAGTTATTAACAAGTATTTTTTTACGTTGTAGAGCCACGCTCCAGCTATACTATTTGTAGAAAGCATGGGTTAGCTTGATCAGGGTAGGACCACGCTCTCATAGAATACCAGCGTAAAATATCAGCTTAATACCGCTGTGTTTCGTATGGCGAGTGTAGATAACCGGAGAACCTTTTTAATGGAAACGAGGCATTCCATCTTAGTCCGCAGGTGTAACAACGCGTCTGCAATTTGATTTTTAATCGAGGATAAATGTAGATGTCTGTGAGCCATAGCATCCACTTACCATCTGGTGCACTGTGTACTTGTTTGTCACCATTATTATATTTATTTATTTATTTATTTATTTATTTAACACCAACAAGACATACACTAACAAAAGCATAATATTTTTGCAAAAAATCATAAAAACTAAGTGTAGACTTAATTATAGGTGTTACACACATTTCATTACAAAAAAATAGACACAAGTAAAACATATGCAGTGAATTAAATTGAATACAAAAATTAAGAGATCAATAAATATATTAGAATTTAGTGTTATATAATTAATTAAATTAAATCATGCATATTCCACTATTGTCATTAACATTAGAAATTTTATGAACGTTAAACATAACAAAAATAAAAGAACGTTAAACATAACAAAAATAAAAGGTTTAGAAACACTATGCATTATTATTATAGTTTATCCTTTTCTAATTGGTAGGGTAAAGATACCAAAGAGTGCGCAGTTTTGACAGATTTATTTTTAAAATAACCAACTTTTGAGTTCAGTCTTCAATTTTACTTATAAATAGGCTTTGGTTCTTTAGGAACATTTTTTTACTCTTATTATTATTCAACATCCATTAATATTTAATAATTAATAAAAACTAGGACGTGTCTCACGCGCACTCTTAAGGTACAATGACTTAAAGAGTGCGCATCCATGGCTCTTAGTACTAGTTAAGAGTACGCATGAGGGTAATGGAAGCTTTGTCCATGGTGGAACATCTACTTTAACCAAGGCAAAAGTCACACTTAAAAACTCCGAATCCTAGATAGTCAGATCACTCATCGTGCCACCAAGCTCCACACTGACTACATTGGATCCAGTCTTCATCTGGAGGTTCTACGTAGACTTCGGCATAAAGGGGGCATCGAACTACTTCTGTACCCGTACTTGTTTCCAGCAGTGTCGGTCTATTTGGTATCGTAGATTTATTTTTATTTGATGTCTTCTTTGTCTTCTTGGCCTTTTCTTCTTTTTCTTTTTGTTCTGCTTCTATTTGATTTCATAAGGAGAACTGGTAAGGATTTCTGATTTCTTACGTTTTATGTTTCTTTTTTTTCTGAATGTTTGACTTTGGTAATGGTAAGATGTCTTCTGGTCTAAGAAAAGATGATTTGGATGGTATTGGCTCGTCATTTTCTGGTGTTGTTATTACTTCCTGGTGATTATCAGTTGATTCAAGGGTTTCAGTTCCTCCGAGTTGAGACAATGCTATATCTGGAGCTGAAATATTAATATTGACGGGTATAGGTGACGAGACAACTTGGGTAACAGTTTTTGTAGTTGTAAGTGGCAATTCAACAGCTAGATTTGAACTATTAAGGGCTTCGCCTGTACTTGAAGTTTCTGCAGTTGGATTGGGACGGTCAGTGACATTTGCAGGAGCAAAATCTTCATCGGAAAAAAATCTGATCGTTAAAAGGCCAGATGCCACAAGATTCGAATGATCTGTTAGCTCTATCAATTGAACCAACCTTAAAGTATGCAGTGCCAAATAGTCGAGCAACTTGATATTGAGTTATAGCACGACCTGGATTTGAAACTTGCCAATTGTCACATACAACTGCATAAGCTTTTTTAATGGTCCAAAAAATCCTGTATCCAAACTCTGCATGCGATGGCTTGTGTGTGGTGCTAAGCTCAAAAGAACAACTCCGTGATCCCTAGCTAATTCAATAGCCTGTAAACTTAAATGAGATGAATGATTATCTAAAATCAAAAGAGCAGGTTCATCTTTAGATTTCTTGACCATGTTAATGAAATGATTGAGCCAGATTATAAATAGATCTGAGTTCATATAACCAGAATCGGATACAAGCTGTAGGGAGTCCTCTGGAGCTCCATCCATCAATTCGGGTTTTTGCCGCTTTCTAGGAAAAATTAATGCAAGTGGTACGAATATTCCAGTAGCACCCATACAGCCGTTACTGTTTGTCCACGTTCTGCGGACACAACTTTTCCTACAATTTTCTTGCCTTTTTTAGCATAAACTTTAGGTAACTTGTTTGGCACTGTCTGGAGGCCAGTTTCATCTTGTGTTGTTTCATGTTGTTGTAAGTACTTGTTTTAAATTATCATAAAATCGTTGCACTTGTACAAGATTTAATCCTGCAGCACGTGCCAAACTTGTTTTTTCAGGTTGCCGGAGACTGAAGTTATGCCGCCTGGCAAAGTTTTTGACCCATTTCTTGCTAGCTTCCTTTTTATCGTTATTAAATCTATGATTAAGATCGTTTTTATTTGCTAAATCATAAGCGACTCTTCCTAGCTCCTTCTTCGTCAGACCATAAAAACATGAATCCAAGCGTCGGCAGTGCTCTGCCAAGTTACTGTCTAATTCAGGAGTAAATATTTATTTATTTTTTATTTATTTATTGATCTCTTCACAACTTCTTACTGGCTAGTTAACAATAACAATGTAGTAAGGACCTAACGTTGTGAGAGACTGGTGCCTATGATAGGTTTTATAATAAAACCTGAGTTACAGGTCACCAGGCCCCCCCTCGCGGATAGGTTACATATACTACAAGGTACAATACAGAAAGGAAATACATCATATAAGAGTTATAAAAAGTTACATAATAGGCGAATTGTAAAATTATATACTGGATGTTTGTGTGTGTGTGTGTGTGTGTGTGTGTGTGTGTGTGTGTGTGTGTGTGTGTGTGTGTGTGTGTGTGTGTGTGTGTGTGTGTGTGTGTGTGTGTGTGTGTGTGTGTGCGTGTGTGCTAATGAAGCAATCCTGATACTGGAGTATCGTTATTAGCGGTTTTAGAAATTGTTATATGAGTAATTTACTCGTTTGAGAAAATTTAAATTATTAATGTTGGATTAAAAGAAGATTCTCAGTATCTTGGTAATTAAGGGTTTTTAAGAATTTTGTCAATGTTATTTTACAACTAGATTTGGTTTTGGGATATATGTTTAAATTTTTGTTTAGTTTGTTATAAAGAAAGGGTCCCATGAAGCAGAAAAACTTACGTGAAAGAGCTGAGTTGAAAGTTTGAGTTTTGCAAATTATATCTTTGCGGCGCTTATCCTTAAGAAAATCCGGGTTATAATGTAGATGAGAATGCTGTCTAAGTACGATATGCAGGATGAAGGTTTGTCTAACCGTTAGTACATCCCATTTTTTATACAGCTCGTCTGTAGGAAAACGGAAAGGGAGACCGGCACCTGCTTTGAGAATTGCACGCTGTGCTCTCTCTACTTCTATAAGATATGTTTTGGCACCTCCTCCCCATGATGTTATACAATATTCAATCAGAGACTGACATAAAGCGAAGTAAACTATCATTATAACACGGCGTTCTGCTATATGTTTTAAGGTTCTGAATATAAATATGAGTTTTCGCAGACGGGATACTAAAGCTTCAAAGTGGGGTTTGAACGTTAAAGTCTGATCAATTAAAATACCAAGATATTTGATTTTATCGGTTCTTTCAACTAAGGGGCAGTGACATCCGGGAAGTCTAAGACCACAGGTGTGGGCTGTGATTGTCAAAGATAGAGGTGGAAGAAGGTTAGCTCTATGACCAAATGCAATGTACTTTGTTTTATCAACATTCAGTGTTAAGACATTGTAACTAAGCCATTCACAGACCCTATTTAATCCCATCTGAGCGTTCTCAAAAACATTATGCCAGGAATCATCGGCAAAGAAAAGGGCAGTATCATCAGCATAGGTGATTATTTTTCCTTTAGAGAGCTGAAGTTGGCATAGGTCATTGATATATACCAAAAAAAGTGTCGGACCGAGAATACTGCCTTGTGGCACACCAAATTTGATAGGTAACTCATCACTTAATGTATAATGATCTAAACGGACCCGCTGTCTTCTATCGGTCAAATAATCTTCTATCAGTTTTAATGGAATACCCCTTACACCAGCCCTTTCTAGTTTTTTTACGAGGTGAGGGATAGAGACTGTGTCAAAAGCTTTAGACAAGTCAAGGAACACTGTTAAACACTTGTTTTTTCTATCTAAATTAAGTATAGTCGTGTTAATAAGATCATGAACAGCATCATTAGTAGTCTTACCGCGTCGGAAACCAAATTGACTGGGTGAAATTAAGTTATTTGACTCCAAAAAAGCTAACCAACCTTTGATTGACTAGTCGCTCCAAAATTTTTGATAAGGTTGGTAAAATAGAGATCGGCCGATAATTAACGACCGAGTTCTTATCACCTCCCTTGAAGATGGGTGTGATAAGGGCTATCTTAAATGCACTAGGAAATACACCGGTTTCTAAGGCCAGGTTGCATATTCGTAAAATTGGGGGTATTAATATTTTTATATACCTCTTTATAATTTTTCCGGAAATCAAATCACTTCCCGCAACGCAGTTGTCTTTTAACCCCTTAATGAGCTGGGAGATTTCTGCTTCATCGGCAGGAAGCATAACAAGTGAGTTAAGAGGGGTTTGAGTAAAGAGAGGAGAAAAATTACCATCAGGTGCAGCTAATTGTCGGTTTGTATAATTTATTTGCTCAGCCAGCCTTGATCCCACATTGGCAAAATAAGTGTTAATATTATTTACACTCTCCTTTCTCTCTTCCGAATTGAAAGAAGATATCTGATAAGAGGATTGATCAGGTGTCTTACACCGGCTAATTTTCTTTATGACTTCCCATAGTCTCTTATTGTTGCCTTTAGTATTTTTTATTTCTTGTTTTTCGTAGCTTAGTTTCGCTTTTTTTAATAACGTGTTACAAAAATTCCTATAACGTTTGTAAATCCTGATATTTTCGTCAGTGGGATTTTTTTTCAATTTTTTATGGAGGTTGTCTCTATTCCTCATACACCGAAGCAGACCTTTAGTTATCCACGGTTTACTAATACGTTGTCTAATAGGAGTTTTAATCAACCTACTGTTGTTTTCAATGGCACTATATAAGTACGATATGAGCATATTTGTCGCTACGTTGGCATCATTACTTTCAATAATTGGCCGGAAGTTTATATTAGATATCGATTTATCTAATCCCTCAAAATCGATTATAATTTTTTTATTAAATTGAGAAGAGTAAGTGATTTGATTGAGACTGACAGCTACGGTCTCATGGTCAGTAATTGATGATTCAAAAACAAAACAGGTTGCTTCCAGGTTGGTTTTTATCATTACGTGATCTAAGCATGTTCGTCCATGGGTGGGTATAGTATGGCCAGGTAGAATACAATGACTTGCTAGTACGTTTAAATAATCATGCGAGCGCTTATCGGAGGTATTAGAGATTATATCAATATTAATATCACCACAAATAATGATATTTTTATAGCTACTTAGTTTTAAAAGAAGTAAGTCCAAGGAGTTAATAAAATCGTATATGTTAGTTTTACTCGGCGGGCGGTATATACCAATAATGCAAGTATATGAGTTTAATTTTAGTAGGAGGCAATATATAAAATACATTTGAAAATCTACCTAAAGAGTAAGGAACAGTGCCTGCTTTTAGTCTTTTTCTTAGAGTCGATTCTGGGACATTCAAAGACTCTGCAACTGATCTTTCACTTTGCCCACGGCGTATTCTTTCCGTTATATCTTTTAAAATTTCTTCAGTAAATACCAATTTTCTATCTGATTTTCTTTTATAACTTGACATATTTGCGATCTATAAAAAAACAAGAGATAAATAATTAAAAAAGCTACTTTATTCCCCATGAGTTACTACCTAAGAGTGCGCAAGCGCACTCTTTAGGTGCGCACTCTTAAGATTCACGCTAATTCGATTGGCTATGACAGTTACAATCATTCCAACAAGATCGCATTTATAACCTTACTTAATAGCAAAAATAACCAAATTTCAAGAATAACTCACATATTCAGGTGGAACCCTTATGCAAATCTTGTAATACGTCTTCGAAATTGTTGATAAATAATATTAAAAGTACTCAAAACCTTTAATTTCAATAATCAAACTAATAAATACCGCACCAACTTGAAAGCGTGTCTACTGATTCCAAGCGTCACTGCCAACTGACAGTTAGCGCAGTGCTGCCAAGTGTTGAAATTTCGTACCATTTAAAAGCGGTGCGTACTCTTTGGTAGTGCGTACTCTTTGGTGTCTTTACACTATATGGTTAAATTTAATATCAATAACTCATAATCAAATCAACAGGCCGAAGAAGTAGTGGACTTTGTGACGCTACGAGCATTATGGGATGCAATTTACATATAAATGGAATTGCAAATGTTGAGTATGTTCACGTCAAAGCAAGACATGTCTCATTACCCATTCTAATAAAATCAACTTGTACACACTTACGTCCGTGACCTTTGTTTATAATTCTCTTTGATTATAATATTTATAATAAATGATAAACTTAAAAATGAGGATATCAGCAGTAGAATCAGAGTGAGCGGCATAGCCCAACGGATTAGTAAGCTGAAGGGGCAATGGGCCGGCCATATAGCTCGATGAACCGAGACAACCGTTGGAGAAAAAACAATGATAATATCTTTTTATTTATAATATCATTGGGAAAAAAGGTTTTCGAGTCGCAGCCTCGTACTGGTAGGCGAGGTGTAGGGCGACCCCCACTAGATGGAGTGACGAGCTGGTAAGACATGCAGGAGGTCGATGGATGCAGGAGGCTCAGGACCGTGCTTTGTGGCATACCTTGGGGGAGGCCTAGGTAATTCTTTAGTAATCTGCTGCACGAATTATTGGTCGCCGAGTGGGCGGGTAGATGAAGGGGGAGGTGTAGGAACCTCCCCCCTAAAATAATTAAGTGCCGGAACCCCCCCCCCCATTTTTTATGAATTTTTTTAGTAATCTGCCGCATGAATATATGGTCACCGAGTGGGGGGGCTGAGGTAGGAACCTCGCCCTAAAAGGGGGAAGTGCCGGAAACCCCCCTTTTTTGTAAAATCATAACCTCATTTTTTATACAGGAATATTGACGCAGTTACTTCTGCAACGGCTTCGGCACTGCGGGAAGTGCAGCCCCTTTGCCCTTGCGTAGCAAATCACAGGCACCTCAGCCGGTACGGCTCGCACGGGTGCCTGCGATTTGCTACAGCGGGCGGGGGCTGCTCTCCCTCCGTGCCTACGGCTTTACAAAAACACTCTAGAGGTAGGGCAGACGAGACTACGTGGAGTCGGGGTGTGCTAATTCGGTTTTAGAACCGATTCGACCTATTTTATCTATAAAGTCTAGTTGCTCTTAACTCTGCTACTAGAGTGGTAATGAAATAATGTAATGTGAATTGTTATAATTTTGTTTTCGGATAAACCTCTTGACTGCTCTTCACCGCAACTCAATTTGTTGTATATAAGTCCCATCTCCAGCCACAAATGGATTGTCTGGGTCTGAGTGATTAACTTTTTTATGAGTGTATCTGTGTTAAAAAACAAACTGACATATTTGCGTTTCGTTATATGTAATTTAAAGTGAAATTTATTTTTATCGTAAGTAATTAATTCAAAAGGCATTTCTGAAATCCAAAAACAGTGTAAATGGTTCGAGCTTAACCCTGACAATCCCCCTAAATTGAAAACATAATTATAAAATCAAGTATCGGAAATCTACTTCATAATATGAGAACAAATTGACTTTTACACTATTTTTGGTGAAATTTGTTTTTATCGTAATTAATTCAAAATGCATTCCCGACATCTAAAAACAGTGTAGTAGGTTTAAGATTAACCCTAACATGCGTCCTAGACTAAAAACATTATCAAAATCAAGTACCAGATGTCTAGCCAACTCGATATAACCTCAAAACTTTAACTATCGATATCTCGAAAAATAAAGATTTCCGGCATAAAAAGCAGCTAAATGGTAATCAATAGCATCATTGCCTGTCAAGTAAAGCTAAAATAATCACTTAAATCGAGCAGCAGATTACTAAAGCCGACCCTAGATGTCAATTCTAATGTAGTTATCGAATCCTTATGAATTTTGACTTTTAGGATTGCATCCTACCATGTTAGTTTTGATGGTGTACGTCTACCAAGCATTCCATTTCTGAACTTATACATTCGCCATAGAAGAGTGTATTTTTTGTCATAAATATTATTCAGGTAGTAAAGAACGTAGTAGACTTCTCGCTCTGTTTTCTATAACAAGCTCGTCTTCTGTCTTATATTCAGAAGATAGTCATACGTCACCGTTGACTCCCAGGAATTTCAAATCCTCTCTTAAAGTCCTAAAGACCTCTTCATTTGTAAAATTTGGCATCTCATATGGAATTTATTTAAATGTAGTTCATTTTTTAAAATAACCTTGTTTTAATTATTAACATATACCAGTTTTTAAATGTAACTTTAATTAAATTAATGATAAAAACATTTTTATAAAAAATCTTTTATGTAAATACTACACTACTAGGTACACAAAACATCTGTTACAACAAGCAACAAGTGTTTAATTTGTATGGGAAATTACGCAACCGTTATACAGTTCTCAACCTTAGTTTAAGACTTGTACTCGTATAACTTCAATTTGACGTGTGGCGTTTTTAAAAATAATGGATTATTTACAATATTTCGATATTTTTGATGAAATCGATCGTGAGGAACCACTAAGAAAAAGAAAACTTTACAAAAAACGTTTCGTTCCCTTTACTCTACAAGATAAAGAATTTCTAATGAAATATTGATTCAGTAAAATATATGTATATGAGAAAAATAGTTGAGTTAGTTCAACATGACATCGAATTACAAGCTAGTGGTGGCGGGCTGTCTGTAGAACTTCAGGTATGTACTGCTTTCAGAACGTGGGCTAGACAAGAAGTTCAAGATGATGCAGCAGACATTTATGGACTTAGACAACAGTCCATCACGAATATATGCCGAAGAGTAGCTCTTGCTTTGGCAAGTAAAGCGGCAGAATTTATATGCATGCCTAGTACTTTAGAAGAGCAAGAACAAGTTGTTTCTGGATTTAGAGACATTTGTGGCTTTAATCAAGTAATTGGTGCTATTGATTGCACACACGTAAAGATTAAAAAAGTCGGAGGCGATAGTGCTCAATATTACATAAACAGAAAGGTTTTCATCCTTAAATGGTCAAGTAGTTTGTGATGCTCAATTAAAGACTCAGATGAAGTAAAGTTTTTTACTTCATCTGAGATTAAATATAAGGGACATAGTGGCAAACTGGAGGGGCAGCACACATGATGCAAGAATATTCAGAGAAAGCTGAATCCGACAATGATTTGAAAATGGAGAATTTCATGCTTGTTTACTAGGAGATTCTGGCTACGGTTTGACAAATTATTTGTTTAAACCAGTCCATAATTCCCGTATCGATAAAGAGGAATCTTACAATAAATCACATGATATATTGACAAGAAATACAATTGAAAGGTGTTTCGGAGTTTGGAAACAGATGTTCCGATGTTTATTACTTGGATCTAGTGTGCCACTGCAAAATGTAAAGTTATACATTGTTGCGCTTGCAATATTACACAATATTGCCATTGAAATGAATGAAGGTATTGATTTTCTTAAACCAGTCATATCTGAAGATAATAGTGACTAATAAATAAATGCTTAGGGAAGGTCTTGATAGCCGATCTGGTCAAGAAACAGGAAGATTATTCATTGAAACACAGTTACAGAAATGCTTTATTAATAAATAAAATTAATTTATTTCAGACAGAGCCCATATAAGTGACATTATAATAAATTTAATTTCCTATAATTTAATTTAATTTAATTCAAATCAATCTAATCTACTTATCTAATTTAATTTAATCTTATTCAATTTAATTCAATTCAATTTAACTTAATTTGTTTAACATAAAAAAACTATTAATTTAACATAAAAAAGTAAAAGTAAAATTTCTAATTTAAGTTTTTAAACACGAAGCTGCATTTCTTCTTTTTCCAATAATATTTTTTTGGTTTTTAAATTGCGTTCCTCTTTAATAAAAGTATGAGCTTCTGTCATATTTTTCATTTTTATGTCCTTTACGCAAGCGACAAGAACATGATTGAGTTCTCTGGTTAAGTCTCTTTCCTGTAATAAACATGTTATTATCAATCACAAATCACTAATCCCATTACTTGGTTATACTTAAACTTTTCATTAAAATTAAATTAAATTTTACCTTACGTTTGGTTGTGTGTATAAGAGTATTATCATTCATATGATTGAATGTTAATTTCCTTTTCATTCTTCTATCTATTTCACTTTGCATCATGAAATGTAGTGGTGTAATATTCTGGAATATTAGAAAAAGTCATTCAGAATTCAAAAGACATTAAATGAAGGTAAATTAAATCAACAGTGGGCTACTCCAATTGGCGCAGGGAGTCGAAGGATCACGACAAGTGGAGGAATATTGTGGAGGAGGCCAGGGCCCACAAAAGGCTCTAGCGCCACAGGATAGATAGATAAAATCAATTAACAAATTTAAATTAACAAACTTCTTGCACATTATCATTATTATCTCCTGGAGTAATAACATACTCCATAGATATGTTATGCCTACTCAAAGCATATGTTATTCTATTAACCGAGGACTTCTCCTGACTTTGAACCTCTGGATGCTAAAATAAAATAGAATATCACACACTGATGTCATAATCATAAGACATAACATAGGTACTCATTCTGTTACTAAACATTGTGTTAGTGCTACGACAAAATAATTACAAAAATATAGTATGAGCTCACTGTTATGCGGTCACTGTCGAAGACATTGGAATCCATCTCAAATTTCTGTGGAATCATGCTCAAAATGTCAATGGTTTCCGGGTCTGGGCTAAGAGGTTTTGGCCCTCCACCAGTACATTTGATAGATGTCTTATGACATGTTTTTTTTTGCTTCAAGTTTCATAGTGCGCCATTGTTGCTTTACTTAGGCTAATTCTCTTACTCGGCTATTCAATTCACTAAAACTGAAAATGTTTCAATCACAATATGCATAGTTTAATGTATATAATATTAATACAACTAATACAAAACTAACAAGTAATGAACATTAAAAATATTTAAATATTGTGTAAAAACACTAAAATAAAAACATATTCACTTTAAAAACATAAAATTAAGGTATCTTACATATACTATAAATTAACAACTTATCAAATTATACCTAACAAATATCTTATGGGTTATTGAACTGGGAGTTTGACTGCACTTTGATTTTTGGATGTACATATTATTAGTAAGTGCCTATGAAATATTCTTACACTACCCTCTGCTTTTTTAGTATTTTGTGCAAGATTTTATATTCATAATTATAATTAACATAAGTCCACAGATATGTTATGCCTACTCAAAGCATATGTTTTTCTTTTCTTTCTCAGTAAGTGTATATTATTTTTGGAATTTAATTTCTTAAAACCACAATTTGCATACAATAAATATGAAACAAAATTCATAAAATGTAGTATTTTACTAAACTTTTCATCACTTTCTGCCAAGCAATAGTCTTACTTTTGTTAGTATTTATATCCGTGTTTTTATTTTACATGGTTAATACGACCTCCTTTATACAACTTTTTATAAACTCTGAAAGATAATATACAAGGTTCGATTAGAAATTGTGACCATATTTAAGAAACAGTAGTTGTAAATGTTTTTTCCAGTAAATTATATCTTACCTTTTCTAATGCATCCCAATTTGCAGACCATTTTCTTTTGACAAAGTTTACATGATTATTAGCCATTATTACACAATTATAGCGATGTTTTTAAAAAAAGTAGTAACGAACTACATATAGGGTATGTTCCGAAATACAACGCAGTGTACTGTCCAATGCAAATGACGTCATGAATCGACGCTATACTGGTGATTCGTTCCAAAACATTGGACAGTATATGACGTCATACTTTTGCGCCATTTGGAAAAGTGTTGGCGATTATTTTGTCATTTTGTGCTCCAAAAATCATTATATCCTCCTAATGGATATACCATCAATTATTCTATAATTTTTTGTATTTGAATAAATAGAAACAAATTCTGGCATGCTTCATTCGGCAAACACACAATTAAAAATTGTTTTATTATGGCCGGATATCGACACAATATGGCGGCGGCACGCTAGTACAATAAAGTGTCAAATGATACGTCATTTGCATTGGACAGTACACTGCGTTGTATTTCGTAACATACCCACAAAACCCAAACAACAAAATTTGACGATTGAATTGCAAACACAACACAGAGTACTTCTACCTTCTACTTTTTTATTTGCAAACTGTCTGAAAGATACGTTCATAAACTTATTACGATGATAAATATGGATTTGTCAAAATAATCAGTTTTTATCGCCTAAAACCATTAGATTACTTCTAAATTCAATTAGACAATGTTTTGGATTAAATTTATGTGTTACTAATTACAAAAAGAGAATTTATAAGCTATTTATGTGTTTTCGAACAATTGAGTTTCAAAACGTTTTTGATGAATGTTTCCAATGGCTTTTGTTTCAGTATATTAGAAAGTACTCTGTGGGTTTTTGTTTTAGCGAGTTTATAACTATACAACGCTTATACACCCGTTATTGGTAAAGAGCGTGTTGACAATGATATTATAAGAAAAAGAGGTAGATGGGTAAGGTCGTAAAAAAGTGTAAATAATGCATTGGAAGATATAACACACGATAACACAATAACGTACTGGAATAATATAAAGGTCAATGTTCACTTGGAAAAAGGTTTAAGTAAAATCCATTTTAAAATATTATCAATTACTTATTTTCATGAAATTAAGATTAAATAATCAAAAATATATCTTAGACTATGCATAGACTATGCATATCCTGCATGTTTGCGAAACTAAACACCAAAATAACACAACACGGTAGAATTAAAGCCTTTAATGTGCTTACAAAAAACAGTAGGTACTAATCAAAGTAGGTTATTCATAAAAGATATATAACGAATTTAACAAATATGTGTTTACAGTTTACAATTAGTACAGATACCGTAATTTTTACCATTTATCACCGAATTTTGTTTTACTGTTTTTTTTTTTCAATTGTAGCAGCCAGATTAATCAAACCTAAACGGGAATAAATAATATATACTCAGCTGCTACCATAACGCGGAAGGCGAGAATAAATAAAAAAACATTTTATTTCCTAATTATTCTTGGCTACTGAGATACTGCGGACTGTATATAGATAATTTGACGTTCTTATAAAGAAACAAGAAGCAGCCGCAAATATCATTCAGCGCCAAACCGACTTCACACGCCGCTATCGTCACGTATCCGTCGACCAATGGTGAGCCGTTTCTTCAACGCCGCAGTTCGTTTCCTCTTGCTGTTCCGGAGCTGTATTCCACACCGCCGCCGCCCGCCGACTACGCGTGCGCACCGATCTGCATGTCTTATATAGCCGGTCCAGCGACGTAGCTTCGTGAACAACAAACAAGTCTCACGCCGGGAAACGAAACGTAGATAATTGTATATTTTAAATAGTTTTCATTGGTCATAAAATAAGCAATATAATTGGCTAGGCAAAATATTAATTGTTACCATTGGCAAATCAATAGTGAGCCAGCCATATAAATATAGGCAAGGTTGATGCAAAATATATTCCATATTCCATTCCGAATCCCATTCGACAGTACATTCTAAATTCATACTCCGCTTTGCTTATAAACAGTAGTTTCATTTCTCCACCTTAAAGAAAACCACTCGGAGTCTGTTAATAGTGGACCCCGTACGAACACCGAGGGGGGAAGATCCGGTACGAACACCAAGAAGGAACACCCTGCGACGTACCACTACTATTGCACGAACACCGCGAAGGAAACCCGTACGAACACTGAGAAGGAAGACTTCAGTATATATAAAATCAGTGTAATCAAGCCGTCATTATGGAGCAAAAGGCGAACACATATACATCAATTGTCGAGGAAATTCGAAAGTTATCATACGAAGTGGCCGCGCTCAAAGCTTCCCAGCATCATACCTTTTACCAGCAACAGTACAACCAGCGCAATCAGCAACACCGAAGATCACCTTTTCGTCGCAACCGCTCTGCAAGTAGAAGTCGAATAAGCTCAACATCAAGATCCCCTTACTGCTACTATCATCGACGTTTCGGGGTCGAGGCAAGAAAATGCACAGCACCGTGTACATTCAAAAATGAAAATACGAACACGGAAAACTAACTAGTACGCTCGATGCGACGGGATCCAGCGTAACAGCAAAGTCCTACCGTCTTTTCGTCACCGATAAAAAAAGCAAGCTCACTTTCCTTATCGACACCGGAGCAAATATCTCAGTGTTACCGCCGAAGCAAGGACAGAAGTTGAAGCCACTAGATTTTCAACTCTATGCAGCAAACAATACGGTTATTCCTACATATGGAGAAAAAACAATGGAACTTGATTTTAATCTACGCCGACCATTCAAATGGAGATTTATCGTCGCTAAAGTCAGCAAACCAATCATCGGTGCTGATTTTCTTCAACATCACCAGTTGGTCGTCGACATCAAAAATAGAAGAATCATCGACGGGAAAACCAATCTTGCATCTCAGTCTTTTGTACAAGCAACCAATCTGCCCACAATAAGAAGCATAGATGTGCAACAACCGTATCACAAGATCCTCGAAGAATACCCTGGTATCACAAGAATAACTTCAATGAAATTAACACCGAAGAACGACGTTGAGCATTTCATCGACACCAATGGACCACCACTTCATTGTCGTGCACGTCCAATCGCACCACACCTATACGAGCAAGTTCGAAAGGAATTCGAAAACATGATTGAGCAAGGAATATGCCGTCCAAGCAAAAGCCCTTGGTCATCGCCACTTCACATTGTACCGAAGAAGAACGGAGAATTACGAGTTTGTGGAGATTACAGAAGACTGAATTCTATTACCACTCCTGACCGATACCCAATACCGCGAGTCAGGGATTTCACTCATCAACTATCAGACAAGACTATATTCTCCACCATCGATCTCAACCGAGCTTACCAACAAATAAGAGTCCGCGATGAAGACATAGAGAAGACAGCAATAATTACCCCAATGGGATTATTCGAATTCCCAAGAATGATCCCAGGATTAAAGAACGGAGGTCAAACTTTCCAAAGATTCATACACGAAGTACTTCATGGACTGGATTTCGTTTTCGCATTTATTGATGATCTCCTTGTTGCAAGCCCTGATAAAGAAACGCACGAAACCCATCTACGCACCGTGCTACAGCGATTAGAAGACAACGGAATCACAATCAACCCTTCGAAATGCATATTTGGACAGCAAGAAGTTCAATTTCTTGGTTTCACCGTCAGCAAGGAAGGAATAAAACCGCCTGCCGAAAAAGTCAGAGCAATCATCGATTATGCAAAACCTAAAACTATCGAAGAGCTAAGGCGTTTTCTTGGGATGATAAATTTTTACAGAGAACACATACCTAAAGCCGCTGAAATCCAAGCACCACTTCACGCCTACCTTCACAACACGAAGAAAAAAGATAAAACGTCAATAGAATGGAACGATGAAGCCACGAAGGCATTTGAAGCTTGTAAAATTGCGATCCAAAATGCAGCTTTACTCGCTCACCCATCACACGAAGCAACCCTTGCTATCTTCAGCGACGCATCCGATCTCTCAGCAGGAGCAGTTCTCCAACAATACAGCAATGGGAAATGGCAACCACTTGGATATTTTTCGAAGAAGTTCTCCGATACTCAACGTAACTACAGTACATTCGACCGAGAGCTACTCGCTATTTACATGGCTATCAAGCACTTCAGAAAAAACGTTCGAGGGTCGAAACCTGATCGTTTTTACCGACCACAAACCATTAACATATGTACTTCCAAAGAAACCATCACTATCGGAAACACCACGAAGAGCAAGACAACTTATTTTCATAAGTGAATTCACGACCGACATACGTCACATCAGTGGAAAGGACAACATAGTTGCCGACGCACTCAGTCGCGTACCAATCGACAGTGTAACGTGCCCTACATCAATCGACTATCATAAGATCGCCGCAGCACAAGACAGAGATAGTGACAACATAAAACATCTATCGAAGCAAGGTAACTTGTCCATCAAGCAAGTTACAATGCCAATGACGCATCTACCTATATACTGTGAAGCCTCAACGACAACCATGCGACCATACATACCAGAAGAATGTCGTCGCGAAGTCTTCAATACACTGCACAACATTAGTCATCCAGGTGTTAGAACAACAAGAAAACTCATCACTGAAAAATTCTTTTGGCCTGCAATGCAAGCGGATGTTGGCAACTGGGCGAAGCAATGCATTCAATGCCAAAAAATGCAAAGTACAAAGGCATACATCAAGTAGTCTAGCTACATTTCCACCCACGGAGAGATTCGAACACTTGCACGTTGACATCGTTGGACCATTACCTACTTCACCGCAAGGACATCGTTATCTCGTAACAATGATCGACAGAACAACAAGATGGCCAGAAGCAATACCTACCGATGATACTTCAGCCGAATCCGTCGCGAAGATAATTTATGAAAATTGGATTACTCGTTTCGGATCACCTAAAACCATCACAACGGATCAAGGAAGGAATTTCGAAAGCAACCTATTCCTCAAACTTCTTCAAACTATGGGAATACAGAAGACGCGTACAACAGCATACCATCCTCAGTCAAACGGAATAATCGAAC